AATCTCCACTTTCTCACTTTGTTTATTCAAGGGGGAAATCACCTGATGTGGATATAATTCAAAAAGCAAATAAAACCAAACTGAACTAGATAACAGATATTTGATACGTGATGTCTCCGCTCTGCCCGGGTCTCCAGGGAGTCTGAAGGCCTGAAACACTGAGCAGTTGTGTGTGTGATTGGCAGATATCAAATAAAAGCTGAGGATTCAGTCAGGGCCAAAATCTCCTCTGCTTTTTTCATGTTGAGGCCACTGATGGTCAGAGACAAACAACATCTGAGATGACGTCCACTGCACGAGGTTAGTGAGGTAGTCACACCGAGTTTTTAAAACTGACTTTAAAGTTTCATGCTGCACATGAACAGCTTCAGAGGGCCAAGATGACGACAGAAAACAGACCGGAGCCACATCAGTACGTCATCACTCTGCACGTCCACGACTGTTCATCTGCAGTAATCGGGAGGCGTGGCCGATCACTTACAGGTGAAAGGCACGGAGTGGGAAGCGCTGCACTCGTGTCCCTCAGTCACTCAGAAAAACCTGGCAGATGTGTTGCTTTTATTTGTACCTGGTCGCTGAGAAGAGGAGCATGCAACAAGCTTGCCTGGAGGGAGGCGACGTGTCTCCTCAGACTGGCCCAGGTTTGTAATAATTAGTGCCTAATTTATAAACGCTGACAACAGGGTGCAATCAATCTGAGTCAGTCTGCACCAGGAGACTCAGCTGGTTTTATTCTGGTTAGAAAACTTCTATCTCATTATTATTTAGCCATTAATTGCCTGATTATACCAGCTTCACCATCCAATCACAGACTGGCTCCGTCTTATCGCCGTTCTGATGCACCAAAGCAGAAAGGAACCAAACCTGGTCCCGGCTTCAAAGCAGCCATGTCAAAGGCTGTGAAACGGCAAGCTTAGACGGTCGCTGTGTCGTAGGATGAAGCACTGAACAAAGCAGCAGACACGACCTTAAATCAGGAGCTGGGTTGCAAAGCAGCTTGCAGATGCAGTTAAGCTGACGCCGTTTGAATAGCATGCATGAGTTTTACCAGCTGTGTGTGTCAGCTGATGTGTTTTCAGGACGGCAGGTTTTAGGCGCTGTAACGACCTCTGTGGTAAACTGTCGGCCATGTTTGTGAAAGTGACGTGTGATCATTGGAAGGTGCTGATGTGCTGCTGGGGGGTTAAACGTGTCCACGTCTTCTGAGATTGCTTCTATTTTCACCTCAGGCTCAGGAGGCGCTGCACCTCCTCCAAAGTGTCCTCAGGAATGAGACTGATGATCCGCACCCCCTCATCTCTCTTTCCAGTCCCTCCCCCCTGTCCACCCACATTCCCAGGATGCTGCACTCCAGCAGAGATAAAGTTAGCACTGCACAAGTGACAACGCGTTGTAACCGCTACCCGTCATCACCGCCACCACCAGCTCCCGGTCCAGTGATGCAACCCCGACTCCCCCGCCCTTCCTCACTTTATTAACTGGCTGTGTGTCTTTGGGATGCTAGGCAACATAAACATGGCTAAATTTAGCCCCGCGGCGTGTCTCTGCTCTGCAAAGCTCAGTGAGTAAATGAAAGAGCAGCGTGTGGTTTGGCTGACTTTAATAGAACAAATATTTTACACCAACAGAATAAATAGGAGCTAAACAGCTTTAATACAGTGGATACATCTGCATCATAGTGCACTAAACACAGAGTAGCATGCATGTCAGGAATCGGTCTATTTGTGACCTCTGCACGGCGCTCAGTTACGTCACCGCGTTGGGTTCAGACTCCACGATAGAGCGATGACGCGAAGCGCTGACGAGCGTCATCAGATGGAAGATTTGATGGTTTATGACACAATGATCCCACAGTATGGATGAACTCGGACGAGCCAGGCGGAGCTCTTTCTCTGAGGATCTCGTCTCCTCCACCTCCAAGAAGGCGCCACTAATGTAAAA